GTGTGTGTGTGTGTGTGTGTGTGTGTGTGTGTGTGTGTGTGTGTGTGTGTGTGTGTGTGTGTGTGTGTGTGTGTGTGTGTGTGTGTGTGTGTGTGTGTGTGTGTGTGTGTGTGTGTGTGTGTGTGTGTGTGTGTGTGTGTGTGTGTGTGTGTGTGTGTGTGTGTGTGTGTGTGTGTGTGTGTGTGTGTGTGTGTGTGTGTGTGTGTGTGTGTGTGTGTGTGTGTGTGTGTGTGTGTGTGTGTGTGTGTGTGTGTGTGTGTGTGTGTGTGTGTGTGTGTGTGTGTGTGTGTGTGTGTGTGTGTGTGTGTGTGTGTGTGTGTGTGTGTGTGTGTGTGTGTGTGTGTGTGTGTGTGTGTGTGTGTGTGTGTGTGTGTGTGTGTGTGTGTGTGTGTGTGTGTGTGTGTGTGTGTGTGTGTGTGTGTGTGTGTGTGTGTGTGTGTGTGTGTGTGTGTGTGTGTGTGTGTGTGTGTGTGTGTGTGTTTGTGTGTGTGTGTGTGTGTGTGTGTGTGTGTGTGTGTGTGTGTGTGTGTGTGTGTGTGTGTGTGTGTGTGTGTGTGTGTGTGTGTGTGTGTGTGTGTGTGTGTGTGTGTGTGTGTGTGTGTGTGTGTGTGTGTGTGTGTGTGTGTGTGTGTGTGTGTGTGTGTGTGTGTGTGTGTGTGTGTGTGTGTGTGTGTGTGTGTGTGTGTGTGTGTGTGTGTGTGTGTGTGTGTGTGTGTGTGTGTGTGTGTGTGTGTGTGTGTGTGTGTGTGTGTGTGTGTGTGTGTGTGTGTGTGTGTGTGTGTGTGTGTGTGTGTGTGTGTGTGTGTGTGTGTGTGTGTGTGTGTGTGTGTGTGTGTGTGTGTGTGTGTGTGTGTGTGTGTGTGTGTGTGTGTGTGTGTGTGTGTGTGTGTGTGTGTGTGTGTGTGTGTGTGTGTGTGTGTGTGTGTGTGTGTGTGTGTGTGTGTGTGTGTGTGTGTGTGTGTGTGTGTGTGTGTGTGTGTGTGTGTGTGTGTGTGTGTGTGTGTGTGTGTGTGTGTGTGTGTGTGTGTGTGTGTGTGTGTGTGTGTGTGTGTGTGTGTGTGTGTGTGTGTGTGTGTGTGTGTGTGTGTGTGTGTGTGTGTGTGTGTGTGTGTGTGTGTGTGTGTGTGTGTGTGTGTATAGGACAGTATTGCAGACATCATGAGTTTATGCAGGTTGTTTTCAGGTGATTTTATATTTGTTATTTTCTTTTATATTTCACGTCGGGAGAAGAATTTCCAAGACACAGATGTGTTTTTCCCTGTGCTGCTCTGTTCTACTGACTCTACGACCTCGTCCATTGTGCGACTGACGCCGCCAACGTGAACATGACGTTTACATCGCTCTTACTGTGCGTGTTTTGTGTGGGTTTCCAGCAATGAGTGGAATTACCGAAATAAAAAAAATTATGAATGTGTTTTTGTGTGTGTGTGTGTGTGTTATTGTCCCAACAACACATAAAAACAGGTTTTATAATAAAGCAGCTCACATACAGAAACAGTAAAGTTAGAGATTAAAAATTAGATTAACGCGATTACAAAACATAACGCGCTAAATATGACTGTAATTAATTAATCGCAATTAACGCGATAATTTGACACCCCTAAATGAACATATAATTTAAAACTAAATAACCACTTTATATATATTTTTTTAATCTGGGTTAAGTTAGAGAATGTGACGACCAGACGCCACTGAGCTCCAGGTCTTCAAAAAGTTTACAAAAGGTGATTTTCTTCTACAAAAGTGATATTAATGGTAGAAGAGGAGACCAGGCTTTAAGATCAAAGTCATAAAAACTTGAAATGTTGTAAATGTCAGGGAATTCTACCCAAAAGACATGAAAATACATGAATAAAGACACACCGAAATGAGACGGTTAAAATGAACTCTTGCGCCAGGAGAGTTGAGGAACTGCCTGCCCCTGGCGACGCTCTGGCCGACTCTGCCCCACAACTCCCCAAACACTCATTTATTCAACATCATGACACAGATAAGGTACAATACATGACGTCATATCACACAGTGTTTACATGATCACATACTAACAATCTTTAGTCTAAACCACCCCCCCCATTTCACACTTGTTTACATGTTCCAGGTGTTAAACAATCAGGTCAGTTTTCTCCCAAACTTCTGTTGAACACATGATGGGGAAAGACCTTAGCTGCTTTTCCCATGGAAGATAAATAGATCAGTTTAATGAGTCCAGAACTCCTTAACGAGGTCATATGATTGCATCTATGGAAAAACCCAAAAAACAATTATTGATAACTTTATTCTCACACACAAATAATGACGTCGTTAAATGATTCATAACACTTAAAATAACATAGAAATTCTCTCACAGTAAAGTTCTGAATTAAAGTGTCTCTGTTCCATCAAAACTCGAGCTTCTGTCTTCACGTGTGTCACATTCATCAGATCCACTCGACGTGTGGATCAGAATCAGAACAACAAACTTGTTCAATGTCTCAGTTTCTGTTTCCTTCATTTGATCTTTTGCTATTTTCATCACAACATAACGACATAAATAAAGTGACCGACATAAATAAAGTGACCGACATAAATAAAGTGACCGACATAAATAAAGTGACTGACATAAATAAAGTGACAGACATAAATAAAGTGACTGACATAAATAAAGTGACCGACATAAATAAAGTGACCGACATAAATAAAGTGACACATAAATAAAGTGACAGACATAAATAAAGTGACTGACATAAATAAAGTGACAGACATAAATAAAGTGACTGACATAAATAAAGTGACAGACATAAATAAAGTGACGACATAAATAAAGTGACATAAATAAAGACACATAATAAAGTGACAAAAATAAAGTGAAACATAAATAAAGTGACTGACATAAATAAAGTGACAGACATAAATAAAGTGACTGACATAAATAAAGTGACCGACATAAATAAAGTGACAGACATAAATAAAGTGACTGACATAAATAAAGTGACAAGTGACAGACATAAATAAAGTGACTGACATAAATAAAGTGACAAACATGAATAAAGTGACAAACATAAATAAAGTGACAAACATAAATAAAGGGACAACATAAATAAAGTGACCGACATAAATAAAGTGACTGACATAAATAAAGTGACAAACCAAAAATAAAGTGACAAACATAAATAAAGTGACAAACATAAATAAAGGGACAACATAAATAAAGTGACAAACCAAAAATAAAGTGACAAACATAAATAAAGTGACAAACATAAATAAAGGGACAACATAAATAAAGTGACCGACATAAATAAAGTAACAAACATGAATAAAGTGACAAACATAAATAAAGTGACAAACATAAATAAAGTGACCGACATAAATAAAGTGACAAACATAAATAAAGTGACAAACATAAATAAAGTGACAGACATTAATAAAGTGACTGACATAAATAAAGTGACAAACCAAAAATAAAGTGACCGACATAAATAAAGTGACAAACATAAATAAAGTGACAAACATAAATAAAGTGACAAACATAAATAAAGTGACAGACATTAATAAAGTGACTGACATAAATAAAGTGACAGACATAAATAAAGTGACAAACATGAATAAAGTGACAAACATAAATAAAGTGACCAACATAAATAAAGTGACAAACATAAATAAAGTAACCGACAAATAAAGTGACAACATGAATAAAGTGACAACATGAATAAAGTGACCGACATAAATAAAGTGACAAACATAAATAAAGTGACCGACATAAATAAAGTGACCGACATAAATAAAGTGACAGACAAAATAAAGTGACAAACAAAAAGTGACAATAAATAAAGTGACCGACATAAATAAAGTGACAGACATAAATAAAGTGACTGACATAAATAAAGTGACCGACATAAATAAAGTGACCGACATAAATAAAGTGACGACATAAATAAAGTGACAGACATAAATAAAGTGACTGACATAAATAAAGTGACAGACATAAATAAAGTGACTGACATAAATAAAGTGACAAACATGAATAAAGTGACAAACATAAATAAAGTGACAAACATAAATAAAGGGACAACATAAATAAAGTGACCGACATAAATAAAGTGACTGACATAAATAAAGTGACAAACAAAAATAAAGTGACAAACATAAATAAAGTGACAAACATAAATAAAGGACAGACATAAATAAAGTGACAAACCAAAAATAAAGTGACAAACATAAATAAAGTGACAAACATAAATAAAGTGACAACATAAATAAAGTGACCGACATAAATAAAGTGACAAACATGAATAAAGTGACAAACATAAATAAAGTGACAAACATAAATAAAGTGACAAACATAAATAAAGTGACAAACATAAATAAAGTGACAAACATAAATAAAGTGACCAACATAAATAAAGTGACAGACATAAATAAAGTGACAGACATAAATAAAGTGACAAACATAAATAAAGTGACAAACATGAATAAAGTGACCGACATAAATAAAGTAACAAACATAAATAAAGTGACAAACATAAATAAAGTGACAGACATAAATAAAGTGACAAACATAAATAAAGTGACAAACATGAATAAAGTGACCAACATAAATAAAGTAACAAACATAAATAAAGTGACAGACATAAAGAAAGTGACCGACATAAATAAAGTGACAAACATGAATAAAGTGAGCGACATAAATAAAGTGACAAACATAAATAAAGTAACAAACATAAATAAAGTGACCGACATAAATAAAGTGACAAACATGAATAAAGTGAGCGACATAAATAAAGTAACAAACATAAATAAAGTGACAAACATAAATAAAGTGACAGACATAAATAAAGTGACAAACATAAATAAAGTGACAAACATAAATAAAGTGACAAACATGAATAAAGTGACAAACATAAATAAAATGATCCACTTTTAAGTTGATTTATTTTTTATTTTTTTGCTACAGACAGAAAAAGTGACTTTAAAATCAAAAGTTCTGCATCGGTGGAGAATGTTTCTGTTTTGAGTTTTATCTATTTTGTCCACTCTGAGCTCCCGTAGCCGCCATATTGTTTTTCTGCCGTGTTGTTCAACTTTTCTTCAAGTGTTTTATTCCTGTAAACTTCTCTCTTTTGGCCCATGAAAAACATCCTCCCGTGAGTCCTGTAATGTTCTGACATGTTAACTCACTCTGTGGGGCACTTCGGGTTGTTTTATAGTTTAAGATTCTTGATCAAATTGAAGATGCTAGTAGCGTTAGCATGTCTATGGAGATTTCCATTGATGTTAGCATGATGCTAATCGCTTGTTTTCCAGACGTTTTGTGTGAAGTTCAGTAAATGTTCTTGTTCTTGTTGTGCATAAACAGTGTTGGGGAGTAACAGATTACATGTACTGGAGTAATCAGAGTACAAATTATGAGTACCTGTATTCAGTTACAGTTACTTTGTTGAAATAAATTGATTACACGGCGGGATTTTCCTGTTTTCACATTTTGGGCTATAATTGCTGTTTGGTAATTCCACTCATTGCCGAACATTAACTCAGGTCTAAACCAAGATCTAAACCAGGACCAAAACCAGGTCTAAACCAGGTCTACACCACGACTAAAACCAGGTCTAAACTAGATTTATACTAGATCTAAACTAGATCTAAACCAGGACTAAACCAGGATTTAACAGGACTAAATCCTGCTGTGTGGACGTGTTTCTTTGTCTTTTATCAATAATATTTTTAATTTGGTTCAGTAAAGTTTGGACTTTTTATTTTCTTTTATCAGATAAAACTTCTTATGTGAAGATTTCCTCGTCTTTGTTTCTCTACAACAAATCAAGTAATCCAAAGTAATCAGATTACATTACTCACTTTAAGTCATTTAATGGATTACATTATAAACTACACTTGGTGTATGTAATCTGTAATCTGTAGGGGGATTACATTTTAAAAGTAAACTTCCCAACACTGGTTACAGTTTTACAATCAATCAATTCCTGGGTGCTTATTGAGGACACGGGTCACTATCTGTAATAATCAAATACAAACTTAGTTCATTCATTCAGTCAGATGGAACTTGCTCGTAAAACACTGAAACATTCTTACACATGATTTACTCTGTGATTTTATGTGTATTTAGTTACAGTTACTTTATTGGAAGAGTTAAAAAAAGTGATTTTACTTGACACTTTCTTTCCTTTGTTCTGATGCAGAACTACAAGATCCACCAACAGAATGACCTTCACATGTGACCAGTGTGGAAAAGTGTGGTCAGAAGCTTTCAAACTGAAAAGACACTACAGAACTCACACAGAGGAAAGACCGTACGAGTGTGACCAGTGTGGGACGAGATTCAAACAATCTAGTCATCTCCATCGACATATGAGAATCCACACAGGGGTAAAACCGTACAGATGTGATGTTTGTGAGAAGACATTTTTACACTCAAGCAACCTAAAATCACATATGAGAGTCCACACTGGAGAGAAACTGTACGAGTGTGACCAGTGTGGGAAAAAATTTAGAATGTCTAGTCATCTCTATCAACATATGAGAGTCCACACAGGGGTAAAACCGTACAGATGTGATGTTTGTGAGAAGACATTTTTACAGTCAAGCTCCCTAAAATCACATATGAGAGTCCACACTGGAGAGAAACCATACGAGTGTGACCAGTGTGGGACGAGATTCAGACACTCTAGTGCTCTCCATATACATATGAGAATCCACACAGGAGAGAAACCGTATGAGTGTGACCAGTGTGGGATCCAATTTAGAGACTCTGGTGGTCTCCATAAACATATGAGAGTCCACACAGGGGTAAAACCGTACAGATGTGATGTTTGTGAGAAGACATTTTCACAGTCAAGTTCCCTAGAATCACATATGAGAGTCCACACTGGAGAGAAACCATACGAGTGTGACCAGTGTGGGATCAAATTCAAACACTCTTGTGCTCTCCATAGACATATGAGAGTCCACACTGGAGAGAAACCGTACAGATGTGACCAGTGTGGGAAAACTTTCTCTCGATCTTCCAGTCTCAATAGACACATGAGAGTTCACTTCAGGCACAGACTATACGAGTGTGAGAAGTGTGAAAAGTTCTTCAGAACATCCCAGGGACTGTCCAGTCACTACCGAACGCACACAGGAGACGAACCAGACGACTGTGAAGAAAGAGGGAAGGATTTGGGGTCTGTGGGGAAAGGAGAAAGAGCTGCTGAGGCTGGATCAAGTGAGCCTAGAGTCAGACTCAAGAAGCTGGAGATCAGGCTTCAGAGACTCCAGACTGTGGAGTTGGCCGATGTGTAGTGTCAACAATTACAAGTGTTAAATCCATGTTTGTTCATCTGTTCTTTGTCGTTTTGTGTTTAACTTTGTTTTCTTTGAGTGCACTTCCCTGTTCCTGAAATTGCATTTTGTTTTCTGCTGTGATGAAAAAAGTTAATTACAATATTAGAATTATAAAATAAAATCTGTTTTTTAGATCATTTGTTGTTGCTTGTCTCTGAACTTAAAGGTTCAGTGTGTAAAGGAGGCAGTGAAAAAGAGACAGAGACACATTTTATAAATAATTAATGAATCGCCAGTTTAGGAAAAATATATAATTTATTATTTGTTCTATAAATACCGACCTAGCTAAAAGGAACATTTTAAATCACCAGTTTAGGAAAAATAGGTCATTTATTATTTATTCTATAGATCACACACATACACAGACACACACACACAGTTTACTAGGACAACTAAAACGTGCAAATACGTGAAGGAAGCACACGAGGATGGAGAGAAGTGAGAAACCTGAGCACCAACGTCCAACGTCCAACCAGCCCCAGAGCAAAGAAACAAAAGTCAACAAAAACAAAAACATACAAGTGAGGTGAACAACAAATGAACATGAACCCGATACACACAAATTATACCCAAACTGAAACAAGGCAAAACACCCAAATAAAACAGCAAATGGTCAAACACACAAAACACAAACAAACATTAAAAACCCACAGAACAAAGAAGGTGCCCTCCCAGACAGACTACAGCGTCTACAAAAACAAACAAACAAACAAACAAACAAACAGGAACCCAATGAACAAACCAGAGAAGAAAGATTTGGTCAAAGAGGAAACCTGCCAGGTCCACAGCAAAATGCTTATAAAAAACAGAGACGAGCGAGCAGGTGGACTGGAGTAAAGGCGGATTACACCAGCTTAAATACCCAGCAGCAACATGGCACCGGCCGTCACCTGATACTGTGTCCTGCAACGGGCACCGGGTCAATCCACACGAAATCAGCCGTTTTCACGGAATCTCCCCGATGTCTGAAAAAACAGATGAAAAAACAGATTTAGAATCTATGACCAAGAATCTCCAATAATACAAATGTTCATCTTCCGACTCTTTTTTTGATGAACTTATGGTCTCTCAAACATGATTATAAATTAAGGCTTCAGAAAAAGTGAACATGGCCCCAAAATTTCGACGAGCCAAAACTCAGGAACGACTCAAGGGACTGAGCTGAAATTTGAGATTCTTTCATTTGGTCAATTTCAAAATTTTTAGAAATTTTTTAAAGCCAAATCTGAGATGCTCATTGGGGAGGGTGGCTGATTTCATATGGACTGACCCTGTATACACCTGTATATACACCTGTATTTACACCTGTATATACAGGTGTATATACAGGTGTATATACACCTGTATATACACCTGTATATACACCTGTATATACACTGTATTACACCTGTATATACCTGTATTTACACCTGTATATACACCTGTATATACACCTGTATTTACACCTGTATATACACCTGTATTTACACCTGTATATACACCTGTATATACAGGTGTATATACAGGTGTAAATACACCTGTATATACACCTGTATTTACACCTGTATATACACCTGTATATACACCTGTATTTACACCTGTATATACACCTGTATTTACACCTGTATATACACCTGTATATACACCTGTATTTACACCTGTATATACACCTGTATTTACACCTGTATTTACACCTGTATTTACACCTGTATTTATTTGTATTTATTTATTTGCTTCTTTTAATGACACAATTTAAACCTGAGGCCCTGTCAGGATCCAGAACACTGCTCCTGCTCCTGTCGGCTGCTCCTGTCAGCTGCTCCTGCCATTTTGACAGGGGTCTGGGAGACTTCAAACAGTGGCTCTGGTCTGAACGCTCCTCCTCCTCCAGCCCCTGTTCATCATCTCTGTGTCTGAGTCTGAGACCAGACCAAGACCAGACCAGACCAGAGCAAGACCAAGACCAGACCAGAGCAAGACCAAGACCAAGACCAGAGCAAGACCCAGACCAAGACCAAGACCAGACCAGACCAGAGCAAGACCAAGACCAAGACCAAGACCAGACCAGAGCAAGACCAAGACCACACAAGACCAAGACCAAGACCAAGACCAGAGCAAGACCGAGACCAGACCAAGACCAAGACCAGAGACCAAGACCAAGACCAAGACCGAGACCAGACCAAGACCAGACCAGACCTCGACCAAAGCCAAACCGTTGCTGGAGCTCAGGTCATGATGTTGTCGCTTGGGTCGGTCTCCGTGGCAACGAAGCTCCTGAGAAGAACGAGCGTTTGGACTGAACCTCGATCACGAATTTATGGAAAACCTCCTCAAGACCCGATCGGCCCCAAGGTAAGAGACAGACAGGTGCAGAGTCCCTGTCACACACACACAGTGACAGGTGAAGTGTCCCTGTCACACACACACAGTGACAGGTGAAGTGTCCCTGTCACACACACACAGTGACAGGTGCAGAGTCCCTGTCACACACACACAGTGACAGGTGAAGAGTCCCTGTCACACACACACACAGTGACAGGTGAAGTGTCCCTGTCACACACACACACAGTGACAGGTGAAGTGTCCCTGTCGCACACACACACACAGTGACAGGTGAAGAGTCCCTGTCGCACACACAGTGACAGGTGAAGTGTCCCTGTCACACACACAGTGACAGGTGAAGTGTCCCTGTCACACACACAGTGACAGGTGAAGTGTGTGTTTGTTTCGCAGCAGAGTGTCCTGGTGTTGTTCGTCTTCGCGGCGGCCATTTTGGGTCCAGCGGCGTGGATTCTTCACCGTCTCCCCGAGTACAGATGTGGTTCCGCCCCCTGAGTACATGGCTCCTCCCCCCGAGTACAGACGTGGCTCCGCCCCCTGAATACATGGCTCCTCCCCACGAGTACAGACGTGGCTCCGCCCCCCGAGTATGTGGCTCCTCCCCCTGAGTACAGACGTGGCTCCGCCCCCCGAGTATGTGGCTCCTCCCCCTGAGTACAGACGTGGCTCCGCCCCCCGAGTATGTGGCTCCTCCCCCTGAATGTGCTCTTCCCTTTTCTCATTGGTGGGAACATACTCGAGTAAAGCTCCGCCTTCCGAAGTGAAAAAAGCCGCTTTTAATGTTAAACCCTGTAAACCCTAAAACCTTCGACCCGGGAGGTTTGGGGGAAGTTGTGGTTTTAATGTTTCTTGTGTCGTTTTTGGAAACTGGTGAAATTAAAAAGTCAAAAAGACAAAGTTGTGTTTGTGTCGAGTTCTTTAAAATAAACCCGAGGGAGAGTAAATGTGCACAGTGGCGCCCCCTGGTCAGTTTGTGGAACGTTGCGTCTCGTGCGATTTAAACCTTTTCTCCCAAAGAAAGTCTGGAGCAGCTCAACTGAAGAACTAAAAGAAACAAGAAACTTTATGAACAGTTTTTATTTGTGACTTTGTGAAATCAACATTTATGAGTCGAGATGAAAAATGTCAGAAAGTTCAAACGAAACACAGAGTCGAGTTTCAAACAGAAAAGAATCTGTGAGGAAAAAAAAAAACATCATGAAAAACTTAAAAAAAAAATATTAATCTGCTGCATTTGCTCCAAACTTGAAGAATCCAAAGCAGAAGTGTCTCTGTTCACATTGTTCTGGACTTCAGGGTTTAGTTCTTTTAGGCTCCGGTTCAGAGTCACTTGGATCTTCATCTTCTTCATCTTCTTCATCTTCTTCATCTTCTTCATCTTCTTCATCTTCTTCATCCAGCTCTGAAAAAACACATCACATGTTCATATATACACATTATATATATATTTATATATATATAAAATATATACACATATAGACAGTGTTGGGAAGTTTACTTTTAAAATATACAGATTACAGATTACAAACCCCAAAATGTAGTCTGTCACGTAATCCATTAAATTACTTCAAGTGAGTAATGTAATCTGATTACTTTGGATTACTTGATTTGTTGTAGAGAAACAAAGACGAGGAAATCTTCACATAAGAAGTTTTATCTGATAAAAGAAAATAAAAAGTCCAAACTTTACTGAACCAAATTAAAAATATTATTGATAGAAAACGAAGAAACACGTCCACACAGCAGGATTTAGTCCTGTTCAATCCTGGTTTAGACCTGGTTTAGTCCTGGTTTAGACCTGGTTTAGTCCTGGTTTAGACCTGGTTTAGTCCTGGTTTAGTCCTGGTTTAGACCTGGTTTAGTTTCTGTCAATGAATGTTGTTATCGAGAAAAAAAATATTTTAAAAAAGGGGGATTTAACCCAAAATGTGAAAACAGTAAAATTCCTCTGTGTTTAATCCATTTATTTGAACAAAGTAACTGTAATCCAATTACCACTCACTGAAACAGTAACTGTAACTGAATACAGTTACTCATCATTTGTACTCTGATTACTCTGGTACATGTAATCTGTTACTCCACAACACTGCACACACACACACACACACACACACACACACACACAGACACATACACATACACACACATACACGCACGCACGCACACACACGCGCACACACACACGCACACGCACACACACACACACACACGTACAGTGTCGGTGTAACGTTACAGTTACTTTTTCAGGTACACCTGTACATTGTGACGCTGTTACAGAAAATCCGGGTTTTTACCTGTTGCGCACGCGCCCTGGCCCTGCTCCCGCTGCACGAGCTCCGTCAGTAAACACGTGACGTCATGGCTGAGCTCGCGCACGGCTGTGATCAAAGAGCCGAGCGCGAGAGTTCCGGTCCCGGTCCCGGTCCTGGTCTCGGTCCCGGTCTGGACCCGGGGCTTCACGCGCACGTGCACAGTCCGCGTGTGTCCGTCTCTGAGCCGCAGCTCCGCGCGCAGCTCCGCCGCCATGACCCGCTCAGTCACGTGATCACATTTCTATCAAAATAAGAGCTCGTTTATTTCCGGTCTCCCCAGAACAACAAACACGTGCGTGTGAAAGCGCGAGCACGTGCGTGTGAAAGCGCGAGCACGTGCGTGTGAAAGCGCGAGCACGTGCGTGTGAAAGCGCGAGCACGTGCGTGTGAAAGCGCGAGCACGTGCGTGTGAAAGCGCGAGCACGTGCGTGTGAAAGCGCGAGCACGTGCGTGTGAAAGCGCGAGCACGAGGTCAACATCACAAACTGCCACATCCGCGGTTTGGTTTGGTTTTTTTGGTTGGTGATAATAAAATTGTGACATGAGGTAATGAAGGAAACGCTTCGTGACTCACGTGCGTCAGTACGTCACATTTTCTTTGTGTTTTTTTGTCAGATTTTTTTCGTATTTTACCCAAACAAATGTCAGTTTATGTTTCTCTTTACTGCAGCAGGATCAGATTGACAGTGTTGGGGAGTAACAGATTACATGTACCGGAGTAATCAGAGTACAAATGATGAGTAACTGTATTCAGTTACAGTTACTGTTTCAGTGAGTGGTAATTGGATTACAGTTACTTTGTTCAAATAAATGGATTACACGGCGGGATTTTCCTGTTTTCACATTTTGGGCTTTATTCCCCCTTTAGAATAGTTTCCTTTAAAATAGAACTTGTCTCACAGTTTTATACAAGAAACGTCCCAGTGTTTTTATTTTTGACCTTCTGATCCCGTCAACAGTAAAGACAAATTATTCATTTTGGTAAAATACGGAAAAGCTGCTTAAAAACGTGATTATACTGAGTCATGTTGGTCATTATTGGTCTCGGTTTACAGTTTTATTATTACCAACGGCCACAAACTGAGTCATCTTCATCATCTTCATCTTCATCTTTACTCCAGACTCATGGTCCATTTTTAAACCAGACGAGGACAGTGACAAAACAGAACAATAAATATTCATGTTTTTAAAAGAACCTCACCAGAGTCTCCACATGTTGGACTGAATCTCAGATTTGTGAGTGACATTATTATTTGATTATTTTATCTGATTTGTTCAGTCTGCAGATAAAACTGAACATTCAGATTCTTAGTGCAGCTTGTAAAGTTTCACTCGAGCAGAAACGAACATCTCAGTCGCTCTCGTCCATCGTGGCTCCTCAAAAACTCCATAAAGCCTCAGTGGAAACACCTGCAGTCTGTGCAAACGCACTTTTTATAATGAGTCCAGAGGTGAAATGTACAACAGTGAACAATAAGATTTAAACAAGAACAACTTGACATCATTTGTACAAGAACCAAAGCACAGGTTCAAACATACGGCCCGGGGGCCAGATCCGGCCCTCCAACACCTTTAATGTGGCTCTTGGGTGATTTCTACTAAAATATTGTAATGATATTTCCTATTAAAATCTTGTTAATTTTCTGTGGTGTTTATCACAGCAGCGTCTCCAGCGTCTCTGTACGTGGCCCCTCCCACCAGAGCAGCACAAATGAAGACTTGTCTCTTTCCAAACGCTCTTAAAGGACGATGGTTTTGACTGTTGACCGTGACACCCTCATCAGAAAAATGTCCAACATGAGAAAAGTGGAGCCGAGTGCAGGATTTTACAACAAAAATGAACTTATTCTGTTTACAGACAAGTTCATGTTCAAACTTTGTATTTTTCTTAAAGTTTCAGGTTGTTCATAATATTATAATATTTTGTAAAAGAAAGAGTTCATCAATTAAAAAAGATTTGTGTAATAGATTTGTGTTTCTCTGCACAAATATTTGAACTTCTTGTTATTTTTGGGGTTTATATGACATGAGTTTTCTGATCCGGACACTTTGGATCAAAGTCGGTTGGACACGACGCCCGGAACAACATGAGTTTGACACTTCTGCATAAGAGGATTTGCCTGAGCACAGAGCGTTGTTAGGTTTCCTCAAAAATCCATTCAGCGTGTTCTCTTAAAAACAGCCACTGGAATCGATCGATTAAAAACAAAAATAATTTTTTCCCTAAACAATACAATTCTAATCCAGAGCTCTGGGTCAGATCGTTACCCCTGACGCCTACGGCTACACAGGTCTTAAATCAGGCAAATCTGGACGCCTCTGAATACCTCAAATCAGATTTTATAGACATCCATATGAATATGCAAATAATATGTTGAACAGGTAACGCCTTGAATCTTCTCTGGAGTATCTCTGCATTCCTTTAGGTTTAGGGAGTTGACAGCAGCCAAATGTAAATCACCCGTTTGTTTAGTTTCACACCAGGACGAACCATCTCCACAGTCGCTGCTCTGCAGTGAATTTCCTTAAAAGGACACAACCTATATCTGCAAAGGATTACTTTAAAAGCAAACATGTTTCACATAGTGGTACATTTAAACATACAGAAGATTTCAGTGGTTAAACAACTCAATGTGTAATAGTCAAACAAATATATAAATTCAATGTTTAATATTAGGGGTGTCAAATTATCGCGTTAATTGCGATTAATTAATTACAGTCATATTTAGCGCGTTATGTTTTTTAATCGCGTTAATCTCATTTTTAATCTCTAACTTTAGTGTTTCTGTATGTGAGCTGCTTTATTATAAAACCTGTTTTTATGTGTTGTTGGGACCACAACACACACACACACACACAAAAACACATTTATACATTTTTTTATTTTGGTAATTCCACTCATTGCCGGAAACCCACATAAAACACGCACAGTAAGAGCGATGTAAACGTCATGTTCACGTTGGCGGCGTCAGTCGCACAATGGACGAGGTCGTAGAGTCAGTAGAACAGAGCAGCACAGGGAAAAACACATCTGTGTCTTGGAAATTCTTCTCCC